CATTCGTACTTACAAGAAGAAACGCATACATACATAATAGTGAACTGGAGAAGCTATTCGTACACTTGATGGAAAATTGTCGATACTTGAAAAACTTGTAACATTGTGGGAAGAAATTATTTATAGCAACGAATTTTAAGGAATGGTTGAAAAGTGGAGACTTCGGTTTAAGGGCATTGTGGTTTCAATTGTGAAGCAAATTTCCAGTGTCCATAATGACGTTCGAATTTGCAGAATTTTAAGAGATCGAAATGATGCACATTGTAATTTTTGGAATCTGTGAAAGAAATGAACGAGAATATTGTGAAAGCAGAAACTTCAGATTGTTTCTTAAAAAAAAATTGTGATAGCCTAAAATGTTGTATATGTTATAATTTTTAATCGAGTGTGAGAAAGGAAAAATAGAAGAACAAATAAGAAAATTTTCACGATCAAAGTATTTCGAAATATTAGAACAATGGAAGAAAGTACTGAAAAATTATTATATATTAAAAAAACTTGTTGAATGTCTGCCAAACAGATTGAAATTGTCATTAAAAGATGTGAATTTTATACTAAACATTCGATACGTAATATATGTATAAACTATTGTCAGACTTTTGATTTGCTTTTCATTTTATTTTCTAAAACTTTCTCACAAATCATAAACGAACGATCATAGTTTATTTGATACTTTTCTTGAAATTTTTGAAGAATAAAATCTTTACAGTAAAGTGAATTTAATACTTGATAATTAACAGAATCTACATAAATATGTTTTTATTTCTTTATTTGTTGTAACATAAAGAGAAATTTCGAAAACTTTTTCATATTACTATAAATAGTTACACATTTACAAATTCTTCTACTATTTCTCCGCTTCACGAACAATCCTCGACACGTTCTTTCTTTTATCACTTCCCCGCACAAAAGAGTAACAAAATCGACCGCGACAATAAAGTTCCAAGCAAAAAGTACAGGTTTAATTAAAAACTTTCATTAAACACAATTTTCGATTCAAGCCTCCAAAGGGTCTACTTTATATTCCGAAATATCGACGTCGTTTACACGGAAGTTGGCTATTCTGAAAATACGCGCGAGATTCGAAAAATTAACACAATCTACCGGCAAAAATGTTCGAAGAAATTAATTTTTCACCGGTTCATTATTTTACGGATGATCCAACGTGTATCGTATAACACGTGCTCTTTTTCTAAAATAATTTTAAATAAAATTTGTCTACTGTACTCACTGCATGATACATTTTTATAATTCTTTTCATCGTTCGTTATCCTCGGCGAAGTCTCTCCTCGTAACAATTACAAATTACCTCATTCATCGTCCAGTTGTTCGTTCATTTTTATCCATTTCTCCTTTTATTCCTCAAGTCGTATTCACTCGTTCGTTGCCGGCGGCGAAACTGTCAGTTCAAAGGATACGCTAATGGAACGGATATTAAAAAATAAACGGAACACGGCCGGAGTCGGAAATGAAAACAGCCACGGGCCTCGCGACTCGAGTTTCCTTTCCCACGGACATCTAACAACGATTTCGCGAATTAAATGGCAAATTAACTTTCTGGCCATTCGGCCGCAGTCTTTTCACTCTTTTCGTCGTAACTTCTTGTCCCATTGGCGAAAAAATTTTTCCCCTCGGTTTTCCCGTGCTGATTCGAGAAACTGCGAGAACGTAATTGCATTTCAGCGAAGCGGCCATCGCAACTTCGATCCTGTTGGTCAAACACTGGAGTTAACGCGTTTCTCAAAGAATCGAGAGATTTAAGGAACGTGGAAGGAGAAACGCTTTTGTAGAAAGTATAATTGCAAGTTTGCAGCATCGAATAAATGTGAATTTAATACTCTGAACATCGTTTGTTGGAAATTTTCATTTCATCATACATTAATTTTTATTTTTGCTTGTATTTTATTTTATTGTTGAATGTCCCGTTATTGACCAATTGACTGAACTTTCTTGTCGATTGATTGAATTCGTTTCCTTGCACACTTCTATTATTAACGTGAAAATAATGAGAGAAATTCGTCAGGTCCAATTATACGTACGAATTCTTTGTTTTCTTGCAAATTATATCGCGAAAAATGCAGTTCTATTGTTATAAAATTAGAAAAATTCGTATAGAGAGTACGAAGTAACATAGATAAAATTGAAAAAAGAAAATATTAATTTTTTTATCGATTGTTTTTATCTATAAATTATTCAGTACATTTAGCACGATCAACATTTTGCAGTCCACGTCGAAATATATTTTATTCTTGATCGTGCATAAGCACTGGTATTTAAAAAATTACTCCAATTAAATCGTTTTAGCTTATTATTTCGAATATGTGCTTTACTTTCTCCGACAGTCAACGTCATCGTGTCGTCAACAAACCACAGCGTACGATGACTTCCTGTTGTTGACAGACCGCAAAATGTTAAGACAGGAATAAATGAATATTGTAATTAATAAATGAAGAAACAATTATGACGACAATTATCTATTGTTCGTACTAGAAAGAAACTAGAAGTTTTTCTCGTTACTTGTACTGTATTACATTTTAAAAATCATGTTGCAAATATACCGTGGAAATTAGTATTCCAATTAACAAATAAAATCGATAATAATTATCAATTATTTCTATTAGAAAGGAAACTAAATTATATAATATTTAATTGTATAATATTACTACTACTAAAGAGGAATGTTATAATTAAAAAATAAAGTCGACAATTATCAATTATTCCTATTAGAAAAAAGAAAACTAAATTATACTATATAAGTCTACCACAAAAAATATTCTATTTAAAATTATGATGTCCATTGACTTACAATCATTCCTTATCCAAAAGAATTAATCTCTAGTTTCGAAGTATTAATAATCGTGGAAGACATACAGGAATCGTACACGATCGAGTTAAAACTTTTTAACGCGGAAATAAATCCACTGTTATACTTATTGTCCAACCGAACGGATTATGTATTAAGTTTTAAATTCCCTGATATAAGCTAACCATGTTGTATAGTAATTTTTTACAACAAATATCCTGCAACTTTTTCATATATTTTTTAATTGCTTTTGAACCGTGTATTGTAATAATCGTGTCATGATATTAATGAAGTAACAAAATAATAACAATACCAATTTTGATTAATTCGAATCTCTGCTTAAAAAATATTTGGAAAGTCTCATTAAAACAAGTTAATCCGAAAAAAATCGCCGATAAATTGAAGCAAATGTATTCACATTTGTATCCTCGATTTCTCTGTTTTGAAATATTTGAAAAATCGTGAATAAATAAAATTAATGAACCGAACAATAAACTAAACGTACCGACAAATTCACACAAATGTATCCGTAATTTTAATCTAAATCTCTGTTTTAAAATCATAATTAAAGTCGTAATAGAATCTCTGTTTCAAGATGATAGTTGAAGTCATGACGAAAGTAATTAAAACTCATCGATAGAGCAAAATTATTTTCATACAGCGGTACGATACCATATCTGCAGTTTCGCGTTTCGGTTCCTATGGAGGCTACCGAGACTATCTGAAGAATACTTTAAAAAAAAAAAAAAAAAAACGTATAATACCGGTAAATTCCACGTTCCTCCTGATACCAGCGTGATTCGAATATAATGACCGCGATAGTGTCCCGAACGTAAGCCGATAATGAACCACGAAAATCCCATTACCTCGTCTGCGTAGAATTCATTATCAGTTAGCTCTTTCGTTCGCGGAGTCTTTTTCTTCAAGTTCTCGTAAGAGATAATGAAAGGACCATCAAGAAACGACGGCAGGAAAATCTTCATAAATCGCCACGCCGTTCTGACTCATAGATATACGAGGTCAATGGTCGGAAGAATGGGTATCGCCACACGATATAGACATATACATTCCACGTGTGGATAATGTGTCATCAGATCGGGAAACGATAGATACCTGTTCGTTTCACTGCCACGCCGAATCTCACGAACGGACGTTGCAGCAAGTAGATAAGTCCTTTATAACCAGACGTCCGAAACGGCGCGAGAATCGCTGGAACTTTGCCGGGAAATTCGCCAGGAAACTTGTTGAAAGGATTATTTCTTCCGTTTTCACTTCGATTTGCATCTCCGACGGCCCTTTTAACGCGCCACTTTTGTTACTTTCCTTTTTCATTAAGGCCATTAACGTTTCAAGTTCTTCAAGAACTCACCGAGGTATAAACTTGCCTGTCTATTTTCATCGTCGACGTGATTTTCGAATCTTCCACAGGAGAAGTTTTAATTGTTGTTAGATTATGTTATTTCGATGTACTTAGAAGTATCAAGAAAGTTGTCAATTATCCACTGTGTCAAAACGCGTGTGAAATTAATAAGCTTACTTTGCGTCTCCTGCAAATGAAATCATTTTTACTGGCAAAATTCTTTACGAAAATATTCGTAGGTAAAAAGTATTCGATGTTTTCATTCCTTTAATTTCTCTTTAATTTCATTCTTTGATTACACGTTCAACCTGAATAAACTTCAATATTCAATGAAACCAATGTTCAGTGAATATTTAATTTTAAAACGATCTGAATATAAATTAGTTCTAAATTCAATTGCGGCGTTAACAAAATTCCCAAAACGTTTCGTCGAAAATTTTCTACAACATGTGTTCAAATATTTTTGTTATCCAGTAATCAACGGTCCATAGAACTTTTGTGCATTTACAAAAATATCCAAGGCGTAGAGTTTTCCATTATATTTAATATTAAATTATATTTTCTACCGAGGCTCTACCTCCTTAATTAATATACACAAAGCTAGGAATTTGCACGAAGATCCACAGTTCGACGATCGTGCATACGGTTTCAAAGTCGCCTCTCTGTAATCGCTTCATCGAACACGTGTCGTGTCTCCCTGCCTTCCGAAACATTCGAGTCGCAACACAAGGCCTCGTGGAAGTTGCCTTTCCCCAGCGGGACATTCAAATCTGCGAATTCTTGTCCCGTGTAACGTATGAACTTGCAAGCATAAGGGGCAGCTGTCTGAGGTTCGAAATGCATCGCAGTTGGCTAACTTGGAGTTTGAACAGCACCCAGGCGGACCGTAACAACTTCTTGCAATTGAAGCAAGGTACTGTTCGGCCATTCTACACGTGGCTTTGTGCATCACGCTCGCCAAGTACCAAACACCGGAATCATTTTACAGGCATCATGGTGTCCGGAATTACTTATTGTTCATAGGGTGTTTAGCGTGTAATTTCATTACACTACGTATGTTGTGTAAAGCAAGGTTTCATTCGGAATCAAAGGTGTTTATAGAGGAATGAACTGTTTCATGGAGGACATTACACGGTGAATCTTCTGTATTTGAAGTAAGCAATAAAATGAGAAAAGTGGTTTTCTTGCTTTTATGATATCTATCGATTATGTACATCTAGAAATAAATGGAAATTGGAAAATTAAGGAATTTTCTAAATCTCATATATTTTTGGAAAATTGAATTCTAATTACATTATAAAAATTTGTATTATTATATAATATATGTTTTATTTTAATCCGTTTCGAGCGAGTTCTTTAGTTCAATGTACCTCGAAAATATCGGAACATTTCACGTGAGAGAAATTTGCAAACTTTATTTGCTGGACGCGGTTCAAGGTGATTTATACTCTTCAGAGATTTGCCAGATCTCTTGGAACAAAACTTATTGTTAGATCTGAGAAAGAAAAGTTAGCGGACGTAAAACAGAAACTCTCTAGAGGTAGTTTTGAGATATTAACTTAGTTTATAACGCAATAAAGAAGCTCTTATTTATGTATATGAGTCACTGGAATTTTTTTAAAATGTTCTGTCACAAGTCTATGAAACTTCGAACTGGTTATTTTGTTAAAATTTTTGTAAACGTTTTCGTAACCGTTTAAATTCTTCAATTGCATATTTTTGGTAACGCAAGATATATGTAAAATAAATGCCAAAATTTGTTGCTGTTTAAACTACAGCATGCTGCAATGGATTTTCTAAACTATCGATTACAAAATAAAATTAATCTATACACCAAAAATCCCATGATTTCAGCTTCATGATCCTCATGTTGATCTCACATTATATTATATCATTCAAAATATCAACAATTTTGTACACATTTAAAATTATCATTATTATTTTGTACAATATACATAGTTTCAAATTCATCTGCTGAAAATGAAATACACGTTAAAATGGAGCAGAAAATTTTCTTATCAACATTACAAGTGCGATGCAATGCGAAATAAAGTTATGCAGTTTTACAATTACGCCCCAATAATAAAAGAAAAAAAAATACATTATACATTTGCATAAACATCAGCTGATAGGAGCTCCCTAAACGCGTGAAAGAATAGGAGCACGAACGACGAGAGAGAGAGAGAGAGAGAGAGAGAGAGTCAACGTCATTATCGGTAATAATCGACATTCCGATTGTCCGTGGAACAATTTCCAACAGCCATAAACGAATACCACCGCCATGCGTTCGGCTTACCGAGTCATTAACGCCGCATTAACATCGCTCTCCGGTCATCTGCGCGAGCCCGATCTTAATGGGCTCCTCCTCATCTCGCCGATTTCTCTCGGCAACGAACACGTCGAACGAACCGTGGAAATTGCCAGCAGATCGCCGAAGCTGATTCGCGAATTTCCCTAACGAGCATCGGATGAAGGCAATCGATCAACAACCTCGTCCATATTTTATAATAATCTCGTTAGTATCGCAATCGTGTCGCAGTTGCGCGGCTCGCCCTTTTGCAGCAGTACAAATTACCGCGGCGTACTTGTGAACTTCGACCTTTCACAAATCTTACGAATTTCACTAGACTTCCGCTCTCATTTCCATTTCCTTTCTCCTCCGTTCTGGACTCTTTTTGCTTCTATTCGTGTTCCTCAAGTGTTCCTTTTTTTTATTATTTTAATGATACAGTGGAACTGCATGGAAGTGCGAAGAATAATCAATTTGTAACTACTTTTTCCTTTTTGTTGAAATTTTCTAGATTTCTATCAGAATTTTCTACTTCAATATTAGTATATATTCAATGTAAATTTTGTAAAAGGTTTATTATGTGGTGCGTTTAATCGAATTATTTCTATAATGTATTAATAGTTGCATTTATTACAATTATCATACGTATTTTTGTTAGAGAATTTTAATAAAAACATTTTCTATACTTCAATATATCCACCATGTGCAATTGCATTGTTGGCTGCGTGATTTCTCATTTCGATTTGTTTACAGATGTTTTTTCAATAACCAAGCATAACAGTATCGTCATATTTTCAGAATCTAAAATTCGTGTATATACAAAATGTTTAATACCCTTGTTTCCCTTCAATTATTGAAATTGAACTAGCATTTCATATCTCGCAATTTTATTTATTTTTCAATTTTCCAAAGGAAATCCAATCCTGTCATGAAAAAAAAAAAAAAAAATGAAATTTCCAATTAAAAAGAACAAACGTAATACTTCGTTCATAGACGAATGATTACTTCCAAGTTATATCTAATTCGATTACTTCTAAATTATTCCAATGTGAAATGCAATTCGAACGAATCTCCTTCGTTCAATCCAAACAAATACAGTTAATAAATACTCATGAAAAATATTACAACTAGGTAATCGAAAACTCGTGCAGAGTGAAATTTTAATAGAGAAATTTTAAATTGAAAAGTTTTAAGAAGCATCAGCTATTTGTTTGAAATGGCTATGAAATAGAAGACCGTATATCAATCATAGATCTCGAAACGTAACAAAACTTTCTATCAATCTTTCGATAGAATTGCCTCAAGCATCCATTTATTTGCAAGAAATACACGGTGCTACAATTTGTTATCACATTCGAAAGACGAATTTGATATTTTTCACGTTAACGAATCAGTCGAGGCTAATTCAGAAATTGTCCCTTGAATTCCAGAAATTTCCTTTGTTGTATAGTTTATAACGAAGTGCAGTATTTCTTACACATTTACGCGTCTATTTTTTTTTTTTACATATTTATACAAGCTATTGTACATCGAATTCGTAAATTCACGATTTGTTCCAGCGTGTCAACAGGTCAAGTACGGGGTGCAGGCAGTATTTGGCCCATCGGATCCCATCCTGGGCCAACACATTCACAGCATCTGCGACGCACTGGACATTCCACATCTGGAAGCCAGGCTGGACCTGGACACGGAGGCGAAAGAGTTCAGCATCAACCTCTATCCCGCACAAAGTTTGCTCAACGCCGCTTATCAGGACATCATGGAGTTTCTCAACTGGACCAAGGTCGCCATTATCTACGAAGACGACTACGGTGAGCAGTCGCTTTATTTTTCTTCGCTTATTCTCACGGTGCTCAACAGCAACAACGATGAAAAATTGCCGGTATCTCGAATCGTTACAGCTGCTCGTAAGAATAAAATCTTGTAACAGTTTCATTTTAAAGCGTGAAAATTGTACAAAATTGTACAAAACTGTAAACATTCAAACGCCGGAGAAATTTTCTTTATAACTAGATACGATCGTATTTTTTTTGGACAACTTAAAACGTGTGACCTTTTTTTTATTAAATTTTAAACATTGGAATTAAACGAGAAAAATTCAAGAAACTCTGCCACCTTATTGTCGATGAAGTGTAAAAATTCGAATGTTTCTAAAAACATCGAAAAATTTTCAAGTCCACCATACGGCTTTAAAAGCTGTACAATTTCTTTAAACTCCTCCTCTTTAAACTTGCCGTACAATTTCTTTTTTGCCTCGATTAGACTTCGAATATGAAGATTGAACGACAAAAATTCAAGTAATTCATCCTTAATGTCCCAAATTCAATGAAATGACGAGAGAAAATCGTACAGCAAGTTTTATGGGGTCGTTGTAAAAATTCCAACCTTCAAGACCGTGATGGATCTAGTTAAACATTTTTCAATCTCTTAAAAGACGTTTGAATTTTTATAATTTCTCAAAGAAAAAAGTGCCCTCACTCATCTTGTCGAACTTTGAAATCTCGACAATCTTTCGTCGTTATTGGTTCAATTTGCTTCCCACGCAAATGTAAACTAGTCATCAAACTACACAATGCAAAAAGTATATCTCTGACGATCAATTTGAACGCACATTGGTCACTCAATATAATAATCGTGTCCCAAGGAAGATTGATGTTACATTCTAGCTCACGTCGATCACTCTTTTGTTCCAATATAATCGCGACAGTGACTGCCGATACAGAAGCTAGGAGCAGGGAAACTTCTCTTGATAAGGATATCTTTCGAACTCGCGCTGCAAGTTTAATTAGTTTTCTTTGACCCACGCTCAAGAACGAGAATGAATTTTCTGAAATAACATTGGCAAAACAAAACGTCTTTCACACAGTGTCTATCCCATCTTCTTGAATAGTTATACATTTCTCCAATAGATGAACTTCCTTTTTATTGGAAGAAGCGTTTTCAAGAAATATTGACAAAACAATTCGAGTTCTACAAATCCTTAGAGCAATCCATCTCCGACCAATCTTCTCGTAACGAGCATCAAACGAAGTGCATATTCATAATTTGATCACTCGGCATAATTTATCTATTCCTACTTCGTTAAAAAAATTTAACGAAGCTAGTGTGAAAAGCGCGAGTGATCCACTCGAGTAAAAAGTGTAATTCGTGCTTTAAACTGATAGAAATGAAAGCAAGATGTTATAAATCACGTGAAGTGGAACATAGTCTGGAAATAATTTTATGCATTTCACACGCATCAGTATGGTCTTCTTAATCTCTACAAACAAAAGTATCAACGTCTTCGTTTTCAAAAATTACTACAATTTAAAATTTATTAAACTGCTTGAAGTTTGTTGTTTGTTTAGTTTAGCATGTAAAAATATTTCAAGAATATCTATCTTTCTGGTGCACTTTAAATACATCTACTAGTATAAAAGATCAAACATATTGAAAGAAAAAAAATAGACTGAAAAATATACTTCATATTAATAAATATAATATTGTAAT